AAAAGGTGGTCAGACTTTAGCTTGAGTGCCTCTGAAAGAAGTTCAAACAAAGTAGTCCCTAGTTTATGAATTTGATCTGAATACTCCATTGTTATATCCCTGTATGATAATAATACACATGGAAGGAATAATGCAACTCCAAAGTCTAAATCTTCAATCTCAAAACTGTAACTTAGCAATCCAAATAGAGATGTTGGAGATTTTCATGATAAAAAAAGAAGAAGCAAGAACTATCTAGAAAGTTGTTCTTCTTTGGCAAAGAAACATATAAATTGAAAGAACCTGCAAACAAGAGGCAATTCATTTGGATCAAGAGGCTCAGGTCCCATAACACAGAACAAAGTGTCCCTCCAATTAGCATACTTGGACTGGTACAGATCAAAATTACTCCCAAACTTCACCTTCCCCGTCAATTCCCTCGTGTAATACCCCTCCTTCACCTCCCTCGGCAGCTCATGGAAACCACGTACCGCCTCTAACATCTCCTCCAAAACCTTGAACGGAACCCCGTGGTTCATCACCTGGAAAAACCCCACTTCCTCTGCTGCTTGTCTCACTCTTGCGGCCACGTTATCACGCTTCTGTTCGATGTCTCCAAGATCAACGACCGGAATTATTAACTGGGTTTGAGTCAGTTCAGCGGAATTCCGATCGCCGTAGGCGATCTCCTCCATCGGCCGGCGGAAAATCAGGGGAATTTTGGTGATTCCGTCATCAACGAGGCCCTTGACCCCGGCTTTTGATTCGTCAAAGGCCTTGAGCTCTTGGAATCTCTCATAGGTTGTGGGATTTTCAGTAAGTGAATCTCCGGCACCCGTAGCTGCCATCATCTACTGGGATTATGGTTTAGGTAAGAATCCAAAGACTAATGTTCAGACATCATGCAGTTTTTGCTAACCGTAAAAAACATACTTCACGCAGTTTTGCTAGCCGTCAAAAGCTTTCATCACAGCGAAAATTTTACTGCAATTTTTCGGCTTATTGCCAAACAGGCAAATTTTTCTACCGTTTTTCCTTCCGCTAAAAGTTTATTTCAATTATTTAGAAACAAA